TTTTTTTTTTTTTAATTATATTACGTAATTTTTATTTTGTTATTTATTTTTATTTTATTTACCTTATTTGTTTGTTTTACTTATTGTTGCAAGCCCCGTGTGATACTTGCGGTACACGAAAATTATTTTATCTGTCTTCAGTAAAAAAGATATTAATGTAGTTTATAATAGAACAATGTTAATGGAAAATGCTCGGATAGTAATCAGAGTTGTGATCATAAATCTCAAAGCTTATTTTTCCTTTCCACCGAACAGAATAAATTTTTAGTTTCCCTTGTAGTTAAATTGAAACACATCGAGAGTCATGCATTATGGAACAATCGCAGACTTGGGTCAATAAAACAGCTCGTAAAAGAGTTGTTCCTAGACTAAATTTCTCCATATTATGAAAATAGTTGAATTCATGAATAATTTTTTTTGAAACAGTTTGTGAAACTGTTGTAGTCTTAGAAAATAAAGTGACTTATAAGTTGATAAGGATAATCGCGAAAAATATTACAGAAAATGAGTATTTTAATGCTAATCCACGTGAAATTTAGGGAAATAATAATCTTTAATATGAAATAAATAAATTTTTAAATATTTATATCATTTTTAAATTCTTTAGAAAAATAATTTTGTTTATACATTTAGTAAAATAGAGTGTCTGGGCTTAAAGTATCCAAAAGTTTGGTTTATTATTTCGGAACTACCAATCAGAATGTAATAAACGAAGTTTTAATAAACATACAGGATAGATTTTGCAATGAACTTGATGAGACGATGGGTAATTTCATAGAAGGAGGAGACCTCAGAATATATTGATTCGGTTTATACATATATTTCGAAAGATTAAACATATTGAAATATGTAGTATGTGATGGTGTATTACAAATGTGTATATAGGTATAATTTATAAAAGTTTTCAAAATATTTCATTAACTTAATGTATATATTAAACTTCTATCTAAGAACTGCAACTTATATATCAGCTTCCTTCTGCCATAATTCCGATGGTGAATTCATGGGATTTAAAGCTACAAATAGCTTAACTAAATAAATATCTCTTAATAAACATTTTAGGGATGCGTGGTTATTTATCACAAAACATGAATGCAGACAGGAAACACAAAGTTATAAATATTTGTTATTCTGAATATTATTTCATTGCGATTTAAATAACAATTGTTTGAATTCATACAAAACGTTATAGAACTACAGTTAATGGTTTTGAACAAAACTATTATAACAATTTCCAAAAAATTAAATTCAATTATTCACAGGGCAATTTTTTATCTTGAAGGAAAAGAATGAATATTTAGAAATTTATCTACTGTTATAAACATGATCTCTCTATAATACGTTTTTTCATAAAGAAATTTAAATTGATAAATTTAGCACTGTGCATTTGTATAATTTCAGCTTGGTATAAATATCCCGGAACACCAACATAAGTCTATTTTGAATTAACTAATCAAGAATCCGGACATTTTTCATAACAAAGTTAATGCCTATTGTGTTGAAATGGGTACCATATATTTCCCATATATATTATTATATCATTATTAAAGCATATTTTGTAGTTATTTTATATACAGGGTGTCCAGCCCAAAGTATCTAAAATGGTTTATTATTATGGAACTATCTATCAGAATGTAATAAAATGTTTATCCGTGGATTAGAAACCCCTCCGATAGTTTTGGGTTCTAGTCCGATCGGTCGCACGTGGGCGCATTTTTCGGCAATCGCAGACGATAACTTGTTACACTGACTACCTTAGTAAAGATGTGGACGCCACAGCAAAAGGTGCAATGCGAAAGGTTAACAGAATTTAAATCAGTCACGCGTGTACAGCGAAGTGTTCGAAAAGAATGGAATGTCGTTATTGACTTGCGTAATGGATTTCTCAAGATTCCTACATAATGAATCACACACACGATCAACAGTGTCTTCTATAAAGAAAACTTAAGGATAGTTGACAGTTTGAGATACCACAGTTCCCGTCTCCTTTAAAGTTCTTTCTCATTGGTGGATAGACTTTGATGTCGGAGGATCGACATTCCATTCGGTTCGAACACGTATCTGCCCACAAGCGTGACTAATTCAAGTTCCGTTATCCAAAGTACGCTCTACACCTTTTGCCGTGGCGTCCAGATTTTTTACTATTAAAGTCAGTGTCTGCGATTGCCGAATAATGCGTGCATGTTCTGCTGATCGAACTAGACACAAAAAATCTCTGAGGAGTTTCCAATCCACAGATGAACAGTTTATTATATTCTGATGGGTTGTTCCGTAATAATCAGCCATAACTTTTGGATACTGTAAGCCTGGACACCCTGTACTATTGAGGAATATACATATAAGGTGTGACAATTTAATTTTTGGACTGTGCATGCCCTAGTCTTTAAGATTAGAATGAAAGAGTGGGAATTTAATATAGGTAAACGTGATCCTTCTAGGGCTCGTGGCACGTTATTTCTTTCATCCCTTTATCTAGTTGAATTTGTTTTTTTTATCTTTGTTTGAGTCAGACATTGTCGTGTCGAAATGCCGAGACCATGATAAACTTAAAAATTGAGCTGTGCAACAATTTGAAATTACTCGTGAAAGAATTAAAAAAAATCCCACTTAATGTTTTAAATTATTAAAAGAAGTGTTTGGAGATAACTGCATTTCACATGGTAAAATTTTGAATGGAACAAACGATTTTCGGAAGACTGGGATGCTTTTGAAGATGATGAACATTTTGGTTGACCTGCGTTATTAAGAACTGATGAAAACTTTTAAAAATATTTATAAAATTGTGCGAAAATTCCGACGTTTGAGTGTTCGAATGATGTCAGATATTAAGAACAGAGACAAAGACACAATGAGAAAAATTTGGGCCTAGAATTTGAAAGTTTGAGCAAAACTGGTACAGAAAAACCTGATCAAGACAACGCCCCAGTACACATTGCCCTCTCCCTCGGTAAAAGTTCTCGATGGACAAACGCATTTCTGTGCTAGAGTATCCTTCGTACTCACAACATCTCGCCCCATACGATTTCTACCTGTTTCTTAATGAGAAAAATGTATTGAAGGGAACACATTTGAAATCTGTAGATGAAGTGAAAGCATAAACGGTACACTTACTGAAGATGGTGACACCTAATGAACAGTGGAAAACTCGTATATAGCTATGTATTATAGGGGAAGGGAGTATGTTGAAGAAATTAAAAGGTATTTGTATACATATTGTTGTAAAAAAAGCTAATTCTTAAGACACATCCGGTTATTTAATCTTCTGGAAGCAACCATTTTTATATTAAGGATTTTTAAGAGAAATCGTCCTGTTGCCACATGTTTCACTGATACCGTCAGAACCTCTAATACCATCCGAAAGGCTTAAATGACCAATCCGTTGGCTTTCACGATGACCATAAATAAATTATGCATGTCACAAGCTTACGTGTGGGGAAACCACCGAATCTATTTGCGTAAGCAAAAGACAAGTTATCAAAAAATATTTTGAACCGATTTAGCTATTAGTTATATTAAAATTATTTATTGTTATAATTTAGGATAGTAAAAATAATATTAAAAATACTAAAAATCAACGCTATTAACCTCATTTATAAAATTAAATCTTCATATGTTGTTTCTAACAACTTCGTGAATAATTCGTGCATTATACTATACTCAAATAAAGATGAATAACATGCAAAATTTAAAAATATATATATGTTTCTATGTTTAATTTCAACTCTCCAACATTGTAAGCGAAAATTAATTTGACTACGTTGAATTGCTTAGAATAATATTAAATCATTGTATTAAAATAAAGCTACAGCAACGCATGGGTCGGGCCAGCTAGTATATATACATATACTAGGATATAGACAGATGTGAAGAATTTTAATGAACAATAAAACCTGGCTTTGCAATCCAGAAAAATTCAGCCTGGTTTATAATGTAGTTAAAGTGGCATATACAACTATTATAATCCTTTTTCTTTAACAATATTAATATACATAAGGATCCTCCAGCAAATGAAAATGTTTCATGTATACAGACATAAAAAACAAAACTTATTTTTTGAGAAAAATAATTACCTTTTTTATCTGAAGCTTCTTACACTTCTCTAAATGCTCATCACCTCCATTTAAACATTAGTCGTATTTATCCACGAGCCTCGTAGTTCCCATATTATTCTATTCTTCCTCCAGTTCATTAATCCTTGTTTTCATTGCATTCAAACAAAACACATTTAATCCGGATCTTGCTCTTAGCGATCATCATCTTGTCTCTAAGCTCAAGGAAAAGAACTTTTTTCCGGGAAAAGATGGTAAGAGTTTCTAGGTAGTAAGCACTTGGGGGAAGTAGTATACAATGTTGGAGAGTACAGTGACCACCTGGCTTAATGCTCTGGTGGCAGAACAGAATAACATGGGGATTCTAACGCTCTAAGACACACACACAAGTATGACAAATATTTAAATAAAGGTAGTAATTATACACACAAAAGTGAAGGAGGTTTCAGGTATATAACAAAATTATTTTTCCAATAAATATTTTGTTTCTTATTTTGTAAATAAATATTTTGTTGTGTTGGTTTTGTACACACAACTAAGATAACTTTTTTGAAGTTATACACCTTTTGGAGCGTTAGAGTAATACGATGAGGGTAAATTTTTAAAATGCGCGCACACCGTCACGGATGGGACTCAACACCGTCATGGATGCAAAATTCCTTTGTCTAGAAATATACAGAACGGGACAAATCATTCCCGCTTTCGAAATTCTCAGAAAAGTATTTCTCTTCACTTCCCTGAAGAAAGGGACACCCGGATTCGAACCGGAGACCTCTCGCTTTGCAACCGAATGCTCTCCCACTGGAGCTATACACCCGCGTCAGCGAACCTTTACTTTGTGTTCCGTAGGAACATATACGAAAATGCTTTGTCTAGAAATATACAGAAAGTTACAGATCATTCCCGCCTTCGAAATTCTCAGAAAAATATTTCTCTTCACTTCCCTGAAGAAGGGAGCATCCGGGTTTGAACCGGGGATCGCTCGCTTTGCAGGCGTAAGCTGTACCACTGAGCTATACCCCCGCAACTGATGCGAAAATGCTTTGTCTAGAAATACGCAGAACGCGGGACAGATCTCATTTCCGCCTTCAACCCCCTCCCCATATTATTGGTCCTATTGTGCCTGTGCGGGGGTGTTTAAATTTATTTAAATGGTGATAATCTCAGGTTTGGCTGGTCCGATTGACTGAAGGTTAGTATCGTTCAAATCTGCTTTTGGCCGCCTTTCGTCCTTGGCCCAGCTTGCATTGCTAAAGATTTTTATAGATTTTAATCTTGTTACGCCAAAGATGTATAACTTCTTACGTGCGTACATAAGTACACACACACTTTTTTTTTATTTTCAGAATATAGCCCTGTTATAAAACAAAAACACTACATGAAATGTTAATTACATCTCTATAAGTTTGTGTAAGTTAATCAGTTTTGGAACTTGTATTGATCGATATGGGTTTATCTGAATGATGCTAAGATGTAGGAGGAAGTGAATTTCGAGATTTTTTATGAATTGCATTAATTTATAATGACAATAATTATTTAAAGAAATGTAAATACATTGAAGCCTGTTTTAGGGTAGTATAGATAGGGACAGAATAAAAGGAAACAGCTAAAAAATGATCCAAAATTTCACACATACACATAAATACATATATATAACAAAGAACTTTGTCAACATACTACAGAATTTTTGCATGCATCGGGAAGGAGCCCCATAAACAAGTCACACTTAGAAATACGCCAATTATTTACGAAATTTATAACAAAGTGCTTCCAAACAAAATAAATAATTAAATTACGCATGGAAACATTTTAAAAACATTTAATTTTTCCTTGTACACATGGAAAAGTTTACAAAATGAACATACATAATTCACTGCTACACATCGTAATCTAAATCGTGCATCTTTCTGTGGTGAATTAGTTCAAAATCGCTTTCGTCACTTGAAGATACAATTTTAATTGACTTATTTTTTGGTACCATAAAGTAAGTGATCAGTTTTTGCTACGAGGTTTGGTTCGTCGCTTATAAATGGCACGATAACCAGAAATGTATGATCGAAGCTCTTTTTGGAATTTCAAACTCCATTCAAAATTGGTATCTATTTTAATTAAATACTTTACCGATTTATTGGAAAGTTGGATTTCTCCATATATTTTATCCTTTTTCAAAGAATCCGGTTTCATCTTGTCCATCTTTATAATCTACCAAGTTATCGCTGAAAGTTTCGTCTTCAATCAGGCGCGAATTGCTGGTGCGTTGAGAAAAAGCAACTGAACGTGTATTATTGAGAGACTGTTCTTAATAAATAAACAGAGCACCTTGAAGTGTAATGTACATTTTAGAGTGCCACTAAGCCCTTGAAATTCATATACCGCATAAAAAAAAGATAGCACAAAAAACACTCACACACACAAAACAAATTGAGTAAAAAAAAATAGCATAAAAAAGAACCACACAAAAAAACAGGTTCTACTGTACTAGCAATTTCTTGAATTCTCAAACAATTACTTACAATTCCAACCATGATACATGAAATTTCATTTAATGCCTCAGAAAGACACGTATATCAGTTTTGTGTGTAGATATAATTTATACTATATTATTTGTAAATGCTCTCAATCCACGTATTTCCCTACAAATCTAAAGGAAACATTTGCTCTTTCATTAACAGTTTTCAAAGATAAGCTAATTATTTCTTTAATATTTATATCCATTTTAACCCCCACATCCAAAATAGTGGTTTTTCCACCACAAATGGTCGATGTGACATACGAAATCAAATAGTAAGGTAATGGTATTGTAAGGGTAATCATATAGTAAGAAATAATGCATTTCTGTTATCTCTTCTCATCGATCCTTGTTCAAGTAAATATTAATCAGCCTTTTCCTTCTTTTTCTTTAAAATACATCATATTCGATTCATCAATAATAAACTTTTTATTAAAACAATTTGAACAGGCATTAACCCATTTATGCCTAGTGTTCCATTTTCGGAACAGCAATCGAGTGACATTTTTTGTAGTTTATAAGTTGAAGATAGAGGTTGTGGTTGGATTTGTTGGATAATTTCGTTTAAAACATTCAGTTAGTCACTCCAGCAGAGAGTTGTAAAAGTGGGTTTATTATTCAACCACCGACATAAATGGGTTAATTTTTGAAATACAAATTGTTCCCAGCGTTTCTTTTCAGGATCCGATTTCCTCCTAGCCCCACTATTAGGCGTGCAAATCACTCAGATGCATAATAAAAATAGTTTCCGTGCTGCGCCCACATGATGGGTTAATACATGCTGCTACTTCTTCTATCTGCCTTTCGCCACTCGCCCTAGGATTCAGTGTTAAGGACTAGGGCGATTTCTTCATATTTCGGGCGGCATGTGCCATTGAATCTGATAGATGCAGCGCACCCAACACGTCACTTTTTATGACTTTGTACTATTTGGTTAATCTTGATTATTTTTTCTTGTAAAATAGTATAGTTTTCATTATGCGAAAATAATTCGAAACAAGTATTTTGTAACTTCTGTTTGATAGAATTTTTTTTTTCTGGAGTTGAGATACATTTGAGGGATGCCGCACGCCTAGCCAGTAACAGTGTTTTATTCAATCCCCAATGTAGCTGGAATAAACTCCCAAAATATCCAAATGGCAATGAAAATCACTCAGATCCTCGCGCACATTATTTTTAAGGTATCTGACTAAGCTCGGAACCGGGATTTTGCAAAAGCGTATAAATGAATAATATTTATGATATTTAGTGTCACTTATAGATTAGAAAATGTATATAAAATTGTTGTAAGAATAGTATTACAATACAAAATTATTTAAATACAATATTTTGACAAAAAAATGAACATAGAATGGCCCATTTTCTCAAAATGTTCTCCTTTTGTGAAAAATGCTTCTATTTCATAATATTTCGCCTGTCTATAGCTCAGACCTTCTGTACAGAGACTCAACTAGAATTTTTGAAATTTATGACTTAGAAGTTGATTTATCCATGTTTTACGACAACAGAGGGGAGACATTTTAAGAAAAAAACGTCGATCATTATTTCAATGGGTTGTAACTCTGAAAATAATGTGAATTTTTCAAAACTCGTAGTTGAGCCTCTGTACAGAGGTCTGAGCTATATACAGGCAAAATATTATTATAATAGAAGCATTTATAACAAAAGGAGAACATTTTGAATGAATGTTATTCTAAGTTAAATTTTTGCCGAAATATTGTATTTAAATAATTTTTTTTGTCAAAATGGCCTTAAAACAAATTTATACATGTGTTTTAATCTAAGTGACACTAAATATCATGAAAACTATCCATTTATGCACTTTTTTAAAATCACGGTTCCGAACGTATTCGGATACCTTAAAATTAAGTCACAAACTTTTGAAGTAGCACCTGCGAAGACGGTCCGAGTGTAACATTCATATGCCTCGTTCATTTAGATTCAGGGTTGAAGAAATAGCTGATATACAATGCCCCATTCAAGACGAAAAACCAAGAGAAATATCACCTGGAACATGGAAAAAAGGCACTCTTCCCTTTGTCAGGTTCTTGAACATTATAAGGTGATTTGTGAAGACTGTAACAATGCATCTCTTAAAATGTAAACAGTAGTGATACGGGGATTGCGCTAACAATGATCTTTTTGATGTTTTTTCGTATAAATATCTCATTTCCTGTCGTTCTATTTTAAATATTATGATATTACAAAAGTATTTTAATGTCAATCTCACCAATAAATCATCTTCAAACGTAAGTATGAGGTGATGCATGTGATAGATACCGTGCGCCTACGGATGGAACTTTTTGAAGCGTGTCTAGCGGTAGACCAGTCATAGCAATTACTTCATGTGTAAATAATGCAACAACATATTGCGTCAACTGGGAAATTGGTTTAAGGGTAACCCAATGTTACACACACCGCACAAAAACACGAGTTGAAATACTAGCGAAACGCACTAGAAAAAACTAACTAAAGCGAAAAAATACTGATTCCTCAGACGCTGAAACTTTCTAAACTGCATCAGTAGTTCGATCAACTACACTGAATCAAAACTATTCCTAACACTAAAAAATAACTAATTTTTGCAATTTTGAAGTTTATTATTTTTATTAAAATAAGCAAACCTAGATATAATATTTGGTACCGTTATTTTAATAATTATGCTTCTTAAGTTCTTCCCAGCAACCAACATAAGTAAAACCATTAGAAAAATAAGTGATTGAATTTAAAGGGGAAAAAGAATAATTTTTTGACATGGAAAAAATGAGGATACACGAATGTTTCAAAGCTTTCAGAAACGTTTTCCAATTAAAACAATCATTATATTCAGTTGTCTTGCGAAACCCGAGAAGATATTTAATACTTCCACGACAGTAAATACTGGGTGATTTCTATGCTCCTATGTTCTTGATAATAGACAATATTCTCACTTAAGTAACTTCTATATAGATTGAAGTATATACACAGTCCAGTCACTTTAATGGGACTACCTGTCAAAAGCCAGAATAACAACTTTTCTCAGAGCGGACTGCTGCGAGACCTGTAGGAAGAGAGTCAATTAGTTTCTGGTGGTGTTCACTGGAATGTTGAGCCATACCGACTCCAGTACCATGGCTAGCTGTGCTAGATTACGCGGGTGAGCCAACAACCCGATCTAGATGGTCCCATAGATTTTCGATTGGGCTTAAGTCGGTGAATTTCCTGACCAGAGGAGATCGTAAAACTCATTCTGGTGCCCTTAACTACGCACGTACGCTGCCAGCTGTATTACACCTTACTGTCCTGTTGGTAGATACCATCATCATTTGGAAAAACAATGTGCATATAGGGTGGACATGGTCTGCAAAGACAAATGCTTACTTATATTGATCCATTGTGCCTTCCACTATGATGAGCAAACCCAGAAAATGCCAGGAAAGCATTCCCCATACCATAATGTTCCCGCTTCCAACCTGCACCGTTCCGGCAATGGTTGCAGGGTGTTACTTTAGAGGTCTCACCCTGTATACGCCAA